TATACTTGCTAATAAAGAACTCACGTATCAAGATTATTATATAAATTGTGAAATTCTTGAAATTATAAACTCATAAATTTAAGTAGAACTTCTTAAAGACTTGGTAAATAAACTATACCTTCTAATTACATCGACAGATTGTGCTTAACAATATGTTTAAAGTTATCTTTTATATCAAAGTTAAATGTCTTGTCAGCTTTCTATCCCAAAGCATTAATTGATACCTTATTTAAGGTTCCAATCTCACTTCTGAGATCTAAGAAAGAATTAAAGATTGATATATTATCTATTTTAGCATTCAGATATTGTAAAGATGAAAACTATTCATCTAATTCTTTCTCCTGAACTGTATAAGACTTACACATTTTTCGCATTACAGGTGAAAGTTTTGAAAATAATTCATTATATGTTTTTGATTGGTTAGATGTTGCTAAGCATTGAGTATTCAACTCTTCTGAAGATAACTTATTTACTGGTAATATCCATTTTTTTTTTCTGATGAATCATAAAATATATTTTCATCATTATCATATCCACTCTCATTAGCTAAAACACTAGAATTTATTGGTTGAAAGGGATAATATTATTGTATTCGATTTAATTTGACTACTGGTTTTTGGAATTAATTGTTTATATTAAGATGAGATAACATATTTCCAATTTTATCTACTTTCTCCTCTAATCTAGAGTTAACTTTACTGTAGATGAGATCTTTGAAAAGGTTTTTCAAAATAATTTGAATCTAAATCATTTATATCTAAATCGTTTAAGAATTTAGTTAAATAATATTTTCCATAATCTTCTTTTGTTTTTAAATTTGATGGGGACCTCTTGGTTGTCTAACTGGTTTAACGGTTTGTAGAACTGATACCTATGTTTTCTGCACTTTTGAGGATTGAACTTCTTTTCTCAATTTTTCTATCTTAGCATTATAATTGGATTTTTGTTTTGCTAATACCTCATCAATCATTTTTTGTATATCGGGTGATTGTGAAATTACTGAAGCTTCTATTATCTTAGAATTATAAGAAGATTGTTGATAAATTTTATCCTTATTCAAATTTGAAATATGTTCTAGCTACATATTTTTTAATTCAGTGAAGAATTCATCAATACTGACTGGATTAACAATTTTTATCCATATATAAAGCTCATCTGATAAATGATTTTTAAGAAATCCTAATACTTGTCCATTATTATTAGCTGTTCCTAATACTAGTGGCCAAATTCTAGTTTCATAAATATCCGGAGTATCATTTATTTGAAATTTTTCTTGAGTCAATTTTTGAATTGCAGATTGCTAACTTCCTACTGTTTCTCTTTGATATTTATCATTTAAATATATTCATAATGTAACAGATGTATTTATAACAAGATTATTTTGAATAAAGAGATCATTAGTTAGTACTGGAGCAAACTTACCTCTTATTTTACTTTTTAAAATATTATATTTAACGGCATCATTAAAATCTCCAACATTTGCATTTTCAAAAGCTGTTATCTGAGGTACTGCAATAAACAATGTTTGTTCTAATGTATTTATATAATCATTAGGTAACATTTGGCCTATATATTATGGAATTGATTGAAAAGATTGGTATATCAATTTTAATACTAGTCGTCGTCTACCTTCTGTTATATTTTGTAGGTTATTTTGTAACAATAAAATTTGTTCTCACAAATTAAAAATTAATTGCTCTGCATTTCAAGTTCTATTTTTCTACTTATCTTATTTAAAATCGAACTGAATATCATATAAATATAAATCATTTTCCAACGTATCTATTCTAATATGACATTGTTGTAATTCTAAAAAAATACTGTTGACATGTATTTCTTTCATTGTTATATGCCATTGTTATCAAGTTAAGATCTTCTTGAGTTTGTGTTAACTCTGTTTGACATATATCTCATTCTGCTTCAACATCATATCTTCGTTATTACTTATTTATAAGATCTGTTTGAAGATTGTTATATTTGCGACGTATTTGTCTTGTAACTCTTTTTATTTAATTTTTTAGAATTATCCTATTTATTCCTGAGGTATCTAAATAACATCAATAGTATCTGCTAATTCAGTTATTGTGCTCATATTTAAATCAGAAGTATTACAACTCAGAGAATTTTCATCTGAATCTTCTTTCGAATTTGATTCATTATTTATATTCCATGCTTCTGTAACTCTCAAAGTTTCTTGGGTATTGACAAGTTTCAATCTATCCTGATAATACAATAATCTAATACCAAAATTTTGGTAATGCAAATCAATAATATGTCTTTTTTACTGAGCTATTTTATTATTCCTATTTGTAAGATTATATTTCAGAGTATTGATCTCACGTTTGAGGCATTCATTCTCATCTATTAGCTTTGCCGTCTGATTATATGTTTTGAGAGTATACATGTTCCCAAAATTGATTTTGGATTTTTGAGGTATTTCGACTTTTTGAGATTTATGCAAAATCTATTCTATATATGGAAGTAAAAAAAGTACCTAGTTATATGTATCTTTAATCAAAGAATAAATCTAGGTGATCAAAAAATTTTGGGTTTTAAGTAAAATAATTTTGTCTTCTATGAAAAACTATTTAACTTTTTTCTCCGAAATTGCAATTTCGGAGTCCCAAAATAATTTTGCGTGCAAGTATAAACCAGGATATACAAATGGGATAAGAGATTTTCCTTAGTATATTCAATTCCTTCTATGGTAGGAAATCAGGCTGTATGACTATAAACAAGATAGAAAGGTTCTATTTTGGTGGTTGCTTGTTTTGCAGTTTTGTATGTAAACAAAACTAAAGGTACATTGATATTCCAATCGGTCGCAATCACTGATGTTTTTACTAGAGATTTACAAAGTGTTCTATTAAATCGTTCAGTTAAACCATTTGTTTCTGGATGATAAGAAAATGAATACAAATGTCTGATTTCAAATTTTTCTATGAGGTTATCAACAACTTGATTTCGAAAATAAGTTCCTCTATCTGACAATATAGTTTGTGGACAACTATGTCAACAAATAATTTCTTCATAAATAAATTTAGCAATGGTAGCTACAGTAGCTTCAGAAACAGGTTGGACTTCAGGCCATTTAGTTAAATAATCAGTTGCAACAATAATATACTTGTTGCCTCGTGGTGTTACAGGTAAGGGTCCTACGAAATCTATTCCTATCTTTTCAAAAGGATTTTCTACAGGTATCGGTTACAAGGGCTCTGAATTTTGCTTCCGTCCTCTTCGTTGACAACTGTCACATGTCTTTATATAGTTTCTAATATTCTCATACATTTGAGGTCAATAGTATAAGTTTCAAATTTTATTGAAGACAATATTATACGTGTTGCCCAAATCCTAAATCATTTGGGATTTGGGACGCCAAAATCCCAAATTACTAGTATTTGGGATTTGGGATTTGGGATTTCGGCAAAAA